ATAAGAGGAAGGTAGTGCTTTCAGTAATAGAAGGAAAGGGAAAGAAAGAGTAAAGATAAAGGTAGTTGTGTGGATCTGGCTATGAGAAGATGAGACTTTCCTGTTAGATGCCAGTCAGCTATTGTATTCACTAGGGAAATAAAGGTGAATAAGACACAAAATCAGATTTAGGATGCTCACTCAGGAAGTCAGGAAGGTAGAAAAACAAGTCCCATATTATCCACATATTATCAGTTCTATGATGGAGATAATTACAGGATACTAAGTGATAAAATTTGTAGAATGACATCACAAGTGAACTGTTATAAGTTATGTATATATAATGTGGTACCTAGAAGAGGCACTAAAAAAGCTACACAAAGAGATACAACAAAAATAAAAAAAACCCCTATAGATAAATAAAAATGGAGTTCCACAAAATGTTCAAGGAATCTACAGGAAACTAAAACAGAAAAAGAAAGAAGAACAAACATAACAAAAAAATAAAGTGGCAGACTTTAGCACTGATGTATTCATAATTACATTAAATGCAAATGGCCTAAACACATCAATTAAATGATAGACATTGGCAAAGTGGGTTAAATCATAACAACAATATGTTGTCTATAAGAAATTCACTCCAAATTATAATGATATAAGTAGGTTGAAAATAAAAGAATAGAAATAGTTACATTATGCAAACATTAATCAAAAGAATGCAGCAGTGGCTACATTGATAAAGTAGACTTAGAACACAGAAAATTACCAGAGATAAAATGGACATTGTAATGATAAAAGGGTCAATCAGCCAAGAAGACGGAGCAACCCTAAATGTTATGCACCAAATAACAGAGCTGCAAAATATGTGAAGCATAAACTGATAGAATGGAAAGGAGAAATAGACAAGTCTACAATTATAGTTGGAGATTTCAACACTCCTCTTCCAAAAATTGACAGAGCAACTAGAAAGAGTCAGCAAGGATGCAGAATAACTCAACAACATCAACAATAGGATATAATTGACATTTATGGTGCACTCCATCCAATATCAGCAGAATACAGATTCTTTCAAGTGCTCATGAAACAGATAGCAACATAGACCATATCTAGGGCCATAAAAAGTACTACATAAATTCACAAGAATTAAAATAATAGAGAATATGTTTTTTGACCACAATGGAACCACACTACAAACCAATAAAAGATGACAGGAAATCTCTAAACACTTGGAAATGAAACAATACACTTCTAAATTATCCATGTACCAAAAAGGAAGTCTCACTTAACTGAATGACAATGAAAATACAACATAGCAAAATTTGTTGGATCCAGCTTGGGCAGTGGTGGGAGTGAAATGCACAGCACTAAATGCTTATATTATGAGAAAGGACATGTCTCAAAGCAATAATCTAAGCTTATTCAGGAAACTAGAGAAAGAAGAGCAAAAGGAACCAAAGAAAGCAGGAGACAAATAATAAAGATAAGAAATCGATAAAATGGAAAACAGAAAAACTGGTAGAGAACATCAATGAACAAAAAGTATGAAAAGATTAATAAAATCAATAAATGTCCAGTGAGAATGACAAAGACAAAAATAAAGATCAAGAATGGAATGAGATGTCACTATAACCCCAGATATCAAAAGGACAATACAATCCTACACACAAAAATATGACAACTTAAATGCCATGATGGAGTAATTATTTGGAAAGCACATACTACCATAACTTACCCAATGTGAAAAAAATCTGAATAACCCATTAAATATACAGAAAACAGAATTTGTAAGTTTTTAAAATCTCTGGGCCCACATGGTTTCACTAGGAAATTCTGACAGACATTTAAAAAGGAAGTAACATTAATTTTATACAATCTCTTCAAAAAAAAAAAAGAAAAGGGAAGAGCAGGAAACACTTATCAATTCATTTTACAAGCCAGTATTGCCTTATATCAAAAACAGTCAAAGATGATACGCAAAAAAAGAAACCTTAAGAATGATATTCCTCATGAACAGAAAGAGACCAACATGTGAGGATGTGGATTAGCTGGAATTCTCTTACACTGACAGTGGGAGTGTCAACTGTATAATCCCTTTGGAAAATGGTTTGGGATAATCTGCTCGAGTGGAACATGCTCACCAAATGTTTAATTGTAGTGTCTGGCTTATGAACGTTCATGAAGTTGTGTTCTTAGGTTAGATGTGCTTTTCTCTATGTATTCTTTGCTCAATTATAAGTTAACTAAAAAAGAATAAAAGCCTATTGGATTTGGTGACATGAAGATAACCGGTAAGCACCAGTTCTGAGGGAGTGGGCAGCCTTTGGGGACCTCAAGTTAATTCCAATTTTACAAATGGTGACACTGGTGTAGAGAGCAGTTCAGGAAATGCACCAAGGCTGCAAAACTACTGAGTAGTAAACCAAGGGTTTGAATCCAGGGAGCAGGGCTGCTGAGCCGGTGCTAATTCACTAAACTACCTTTCTCTTTACCTTTGAGAGCACAAAGGCAATGAGGATAAAGGAAACATCAGACTGGAGTATTCAAACGCATAGACTCTGAGGCTACTTTAGGAAGGGCAAGCAGACACAGCAACTTGATGCTCTTGTAGATGTCTCTTCATCACAGTGGCTATATAGGCTAGTTACCAATAGTCTCAGGACAACTAGGTAAGAAAAGGTTAAGCATTTTAGTTTACTATGTTTATGTAGGCAGGGAAATGTACAATATATTTTTGAAAGATTTTGGGTTAAGGGACAAACTCTGATTATATCTGAAAAATAATTTATATTGTTTAATTATCTGCCAAATGCCAGGGAAATGCAGTACATGCATGGTGTGTTACAAATGTGCACAGACTCCATCCACTCTTGCAGGGCACAGTCATATTTTGGTCTTAGAGAAAAAAAATACCATATCATTAGACTTTTTTAGAAGCATGGAAATTACAATTTTGTGATTAGGCCAAGGTATAATTACAGGCCAGAGCCCAATACCTTAATATAATTAGTGTTTCAGCAATCACTGAAGCTACCACACAAAACCACTGTGTGAAGCCTTAATTAAAAGAGAAGAGATTACTGTATAAAAGTCATTCATTCTGTCAACTGCTTTCATTACAAAAGGTGGGAAAGTGCAAATAAATGGGAACCAAATGCAAGAACAAAGAATTTGACCTCATATTCACAATACACTGTTATCAATGGCTATAGATCAGAAAGAAGTCTCTAATAAAGCAAGATGAGTCAACAAAAAGTTCTTGCTGCCTTAGAGATAACTTTGATAACTGGTTTTCTAAGACTGAGTTTGCAGTAGAAATACTTTCTGGAAATAATTCAGGAAATTCTTTCCAAATTAAGAAAGGCTTGCTGAATGAAACAGCCTGTTAATCCCTTTTCTGTAATATTTTTAAAAAAGTTTTATTTACTTTTTATTTTTAGAGAGATGGGAAGAGAGGAAGAAAGGGAGAGAAACATCAATGTGACAGAGAAATAGCCATCAGTTGCCTCTTGTACACGCCCCGGCGGGGACCGAACCTGCAACCCAGGCATGTGCCCTGTCTGGGAATCTAACTAGTGACTTTTCACTTTGTGGGAGGACATCTAATCAACTGAGCCACACAGGTCAGGGCTGTAACCCCCTTTTCTAATACAAAGTTTATACAATTTACACATTTGATATGACTTAATCCACAATACACCTCTCTGAACTTCTTGGGAAAACACTCACAGAGATGAAATCATTTGTTTATAGTCACAGAGACAAGGAACCAAAATTAGGAGTGAAGTCTTTCTCCAGTTCTAGCACAATTGCCGTGTCATGGATAGCTGCCCACCCTCGTGTGTACACCTAAAAAAAAGTAATCAGTCTCTAGGCCTCCAAGACCTGAGTGGTCTCCCTTGTTCAGTTAACATTCTTCCACTTGGGGTTTTCTCCGCTTGCTCGTCCAGTTTCAAGATTCGCTGAGTTCTAACTCAGGCCCTGTTTCTTCTTTGGTGCCTCCCCATCTCTCACAAGGTGAGCAGACCCCTCTGTGGCACCAAAGCACACTCTACTCAGATGCTCTTCCTGGAAGTTTCCTCTGACTTTCCTTTCACCTCTGCACACTCTTTGTGCATTATTTGTATTCGCATGTCTAGAAAGGTGCATCACCTGCACAGCATTCTGTAATACCTTTATATAAAATTCACTCTTTCAAGATCAACTGAATAGCACAAGTGTCTTGTAGCACATGTAAAAATGACTTAGAAAAAAACTCTCTGAATCGTTTTTAGACCTATTACATTTATCCAAACCTGACAAAACACAATGCAGGTAACAAGAAAAAGGAAACAGAAGTGTAGGAAAATCTGTCTTTAGCGATTTCAAACTTGCTTTAAAATACCAGTGTTGCCTGAAGTATAGAGGTGAAAGTGATGAATGTTAAGTGGATATTTTTTCACTTTAACTGACTGATCAGAAGAGTATTTACAAACCCCTGACTGATGTCTTGAGCTGATAAATCAACACCAAAGGAGAACATTTCAAGCACATTTATCATTAAGACAAACAGGCTATTCTGAGCCTGATTATTTTTTATTCATCATTTTAGCTCACCTCCATGCTTGTGTCTTTGTAATGTTAATAATATCTGTATAAGACTTCTCAATATTTAATGCTTACAGCTTGCCTGTTGCATGCTGATGAGGTTAAGATCGCATGTTTGATCTCCAGAAGGCTGGTTAGCTTTCCAAAGAGAGGTTCTATTTCACATTGAAGCCTAACCCCAATCAGCTTTCTTATAAATAGCTTTGTTGGTTTCAGTGCCATAAAAACACAGAATTACAATTTTAAGGGAAATGAGGGCCAAGATATTTTAACAGACTTGTCCAATGGCATTGCATCTTGTAATTAGCAGAGGACAGCCAGCATCACAGAACATGATAATTCAGCAATTGTAGGACTCAGGGAATATCCAGGCCAGCCCACCAGTTCAGCATCATCGTACCACATCCAAAACAGCACAGTGTAAAAGATAATCTTACCTGTTCATTCTCCTCTTCATCACTACTTAGCTTAAGGTCATCTTCTAGCATTCTGGAAGGAGGAACAAAGAGGTACACATACTTAGCAAATTCAAAATCACTTACCAACAAAGTATCTCAATTGAGCAGTGTTTCAATAATAAGTCGTCTATTTGACTTACTAATTTAAAAAAGTGTTCATTTTAAGCCCTTTTCCTGTGATGCACTTAGAAGTAACTGTCACATCACGAAAATTCACCCTCCTAATAGTCATAGGATAAGATGGGTTGCTTTTCCTTGTGAAGTTTAATCCCACAATTATTTGTTCAGTGTTTTCCATGTGGCAGGTGCTTTGCTATGTCTCTATTTCCATTCAGGGTAAATGGAATCAAATGGCAAGTAGGACTCTGCTGAGAGCTATAAGTGTGAGCACCAGCTGCTTAGGTCTTCACCAGTCAGAGCTCTGGAGAAGATATCTGCCCCAAGATCCTGCTGGATAAGGAAAATCAAATAGGAGAGAACCTTCTGGAAAGACTCAGAAGGCAACTCCTCAGTGTTCCTGGCATCCCTCAGGTTTGTATGACAGATCATACCTTTGGGTCCATAAAAGTTAAAAGTTAAAAAAAATAAACCCAACAAAATGCTGTAAACACTATGATTTTTTTTCAATGCTCACACAAGGCCATTTCTTCATTGCTTTTAAACATACAGGAAGGGAGAGAGGAAAGAGAGAGACAAACATCAATGTGAGCGAGAAGCATCAATTGGTTGCCTCCCATATGCACCTGGAGCGGGGATCAGTGCTCAGAGCAGGGATTATGTGTCTGGACTGGGGGTCCTATGTGCCCTTTCCTGGACCAGGGATGGATGATACAACCTAGGTATGTGCCCTGACCAAGGATTGAATCCACAACCTTTTAGTTACAGGACAATGCTCCAACCAACTAAGCCACATGGACCAGGGCCCTATGATTTCTGATGATGATAAAATTATATTCTTATCATCATTGCTGAATTGTTTCTTTATGGAATAGTAGTTTTCAGATTAAGTCATTTTGAAAGAAACCTTGGGAGTGCACTTCATAACAGAAATGACTGCAGAGCTGTTCTGTTGGGGGCGGGGAGAGTCTTTTTCTGATGAACCTTGGGGCACCAGAGATCAGTTGATAGGCCCTTGACCCCATGTGCTTGAAAGGCCTCTCCTCCTTGAAGTCACCTCCCAAAGACTGTCCCCTGAAATATGCTTGATTCCTTTAAAAGCCAATTATAAAGCTACTATCAGTGTATTTCTCTGAATAATATAATAAGTTACTTCAGTGACTTTTGGGGTGAATTTGGGACAAAGACCTGCCAGGATGGGACATGGGTGGAGTTTCACTCTACCAGCTTTTTGTGCTTGGGGCAAGTCACTTCACTTCCTGGCCCTGGCTCTATTTGTAAAAGGAAGGTGATTCTGGGTAGTCTCTAAGGTCCAATCCTGCTTTAGTTTCTATAAGTCTAGAAAATAAATTTGCCCCTATTTTATAAAGTAGGAAAATTCCTGTACTGAGTTGTTGCTAAGCAATTTTGGGATACTATTAAAGCCATAACCATTAGGATGCCATATCTGTTTCGTCACAGACTACGGCTATTCTACCAGTAGCAAGAAGTCTCACTTGTTGATTATTTAAACCTCAAGCAAACAAACATGACATTATCAAAGACGGTAGAGCTGTGCTCCCAACTGCTATGTCCATCTGGGATCTGTCATTCATTTTCCTTGACTTTAGAAACTCGTACATCAGGCTTCAAAGACAAGAGAGACAGTGGTGACTTATTAGAATGTTGTCTGGGAAGAGCCTAGGATGGGGACTGTGTTTTCTTTGTTCTTGAGTCCCTGGGGACTAGCACAGTGAAGACACACAGCATAATACTAGTTTGTGACCTGGTTTGGGGCACCTTCTCCAAGACTGTTTTTCTGCTGGAAGGACCACATGACTTTCTGATGAAGGATGCTAGAGAAGCAGGGCCATTTCTCATCTCCACCCCTTACTCCCTCTTTTGGGGTAAACTGCCAACTGCAATTTGGTTGAATCTCAGAGGCTGCCCGTTGAGCAATGGGTGTTCTAAGTGTGGGTGGTCCTGTCAATGGACAGAAAAAGGGAGGGGAGAACACACACAATCATTGTTAACAACTCCCTTGATACATGGAAGTCACGTCAGGGGTGAATGAGAAGTTTCATCTTTATACAGGCAAACATGTGCACAGATCTGAAGGCCACTGTCAACCAGAGCAGGAAACCCTAAAATGCCCCAAAGCAAGGGATCTTAGCTTGGCTGCAAACCAGCCATGTGACTCAGTCACCACATGAAGTTGGCATTACTGAAAGTAACCACAATAGTAAAAACAGTGTCTCAGGGCCTCTTCGAAGGTAGAGAGTTCAGCTCAGTTTTGTTTATTTTTAAACAAGTGCTAAATGTATAGACAAATATATGCGTTTCTTGTCAAATCTCACACTGCCTCTCACATTCCCGGAACCCAGGCAAACTGTACCCCTGGACCTCAGCCTTCTCATGTCTGTAGTGAGACTCACCCACAGAGTCAGCACTTCCAGAAGAAAAGCCTCTGAGATCTGCCTTGCTTTGCGATAGTAACCACTCTACCACCAAATCTCTCTCTCATATATAAAGAGTTTATTGTATTTCTGAAGCTAATATCTAAAAACTGAGGATTAAATGTAAAAATACTCTGTACGCAAGCAGGCTTCAAGAGAAGTTAGAATCCAATTAAAGTTGAGAAAATCTTGGAGTCTGAGGAAATGGCAATGGAAACATTAAGTCAAACAGACACGACAGACACAATGCACAGCAATTCTGGATGCTGCTGTTCCTCACACATGTGACCTGGACTAGGAGTAGACAGTCACCACCACCCTGAGCCCCCAACCCCTAACAGATACAACGCTGAGATAACTGAGGCTCATGCCATCCAAGGATATGACCTGGCTATTCTGCTTTGTTCTGACGGCCATAAAATGGAGAACCCATGACTCAACTTCCAAAGCATAGCACAGTGCTTGTTCCCATTCACTATGCTCTTCAAGTCTGGTTTAACATTCATAAAGTGCCCACTTTTAAGGCTGGGAATTTCCACGTGGTCTCTGAGAGGGCCTCGGGAGAAGTAAAAGCATATTTGAGGTTAGAGCTGAACAACAAGATGTGGTTAGAGAAGAAAACAGAACAACTCTGACACCCACAGCATCCTGAGAACTGTCAGTGTTTGGGGTGTGGCCAGGAAAAGAGGCCTGGCTGACTCCACTGAAACACATCAATGTCACTGCTGTAGTTGTGCCCCCAACTCTCATCCCACTCACGTAACAACATTTTTATCCTTTATCTATTTTCAAAAGGTAACAGACTAGCATAGGTATGTTCAACAAGAAAACAAAATTTTTAAATCAAGAGTAAAAGAATATGCCAACTAAGTGTTGGTTAGGCCATGGGGTATGGGTGGGGGATCTCTGACTACATTTTGAGAAAAGGAGGAAGGCAAATACTGATGCTCAGAAGGGTGGAGGACAGTTTGGGATGGGTCAACTGCACATAAACACAGGGTCTGTGCTTTGGCACTGCGCTGGCATGCACAGGCACCCTGCTGCACCCCTATACGCATACATCAGAGCACCATGGGCCTTCAGCCAATGATGCCACCCACCCAAACCTCCTCCCCTTCCCGTCTTTCAGAGCCCTCCGAAACTCTTTATGGTGACTGTGCTCCGATCAAACAGTAGCAGCTCTCAAGTTTGAATGACTGTTCTGGCTGGGCCTGCTGATCACTTTCTAGACATCACCTCATTCAATCCCCACAGCAACTCCTCTGAGGTGAGCACTGCTGGGCAGCAGGGTTGGTGGTCAGAGCATGGGCTCTGGAGTCGGACTGCCCAGGCTGAGTCTGACACTCAACCAGCCAAGTGACTGGACACCTGCCTTCAAGGGTTTTCCAGAGAAGTCACTGCACAATCCTTGGGAAGTGCTTAGTGCAGAACCTGGCACAGAATAAGCATGCAACAGATATTCATTTTTACTAATATTCCTTTTACCTTTGAGGGTAATGCCTTGGGTCATTTAAGAACTTTGCAGGAGTAACAATTTAGAAGACAAAGATGTTTCTGCAATGAAGCCTTAAAACTAAGCCACTTTTTAAAAGAAAAGATGATGTTCTCTAGAGGCTGCAGAGGGGCATATATATTTTAGGTTATAACTGCTGCTGTGGTTGACTGATCTGATGTGACTATGTCTACAGAGGACAGGAAACATGTCTATCAGCCTGAATGTACAAGGGCTGAGGTCAACCTCATGGCCAGGAGTCACTCAGCAGGACCTATTGCCTGATGACAACAGGGACACTGAAATAAAATAGACAATAAGATCAAATTAAGGCCAGACAGCAGGGGTGCAGCCAGCAGTGCAGAGACACCTGGATTTACGCCCTGAACACCTGAGGAGTTGTCAAACTGCTGTCAGGAGCACGTTAAGTCAGTGCCTGATTGTGACTTCTAAGTGAAGTCTGCAAGGTAACTGAGACATGTAAGGGATTCAAGCAGGATTTTTCTTTAACATGTAGTTAGGTGACTGCAATGCAATCCAGTTTTCACTGGGAAACTGTGTTAGACAACAGTTTCTTAGGATTATTGTCCTAGGCACATTACAACATGCCCCCAAACACTTGGTTCAAAGGATCATAATGTTTTGAGCCATGGGCTGAATGGTCTTAGCTTTCATGCAGAGAGAGGGCCTTGCATGAACTACATAGAAGGAAGGGTGTGATGGGAGTCAGGTTAGACTCTGAAGAGGGAATCAAGTACAAACATTTCCCCTAGCAGTTTGTCAAGTACCGCCCCAGGTGGACCTCTCTCTGAAAGTGGAAGATGAGTGGAAACTGCCTCATCACCAATGGGAATCTTGGCGCCCAAACTCCCAACCATTTACTAATTTACTTGTGTGTTCACTGGGTCATGGGTAACTATCCATGGAAAGCACCTGTCTCCCAGGGCTAGTTCCCCTCACACACTACAGATGAGCCTTGCCATTGTA